GGATGAACAGCTCTTCGCGAGAGGCACATTACTTTACATTTCTTAAGATATAGAGGCATAAGATTTACTTGACACCAGTAAGCCATGCTGTTTAAATCTGATTGTAGCAAAGACCTTTCTTTAATTGAAACGTACGATTTATAAAGCTTTACATCATCTGCAGACATTAAAAATTTGGTAAATTGTATATCTGTAGAAATATCGTTTATAAAAAGCAAGAACAGAACCGGGCCTAGGTGGCTACCTTGAGGGACTCCTGAAGTAACATCAATGACGTCAGAGATAGTATTTTTAAACATTACCCTTTGTGATCTATCATAGAGGTATGAAGAGATCCAACGTAGAAAATTAGGTGGAAGACCAAGAAGATCAAATTTATAGATGAGCAACGAGTGGCACACTTTGTCAAATGCTTTACTGAAGTCAGTCACGATAAGTAGCGTTCAGAATCGCTTTTAATTTGGCAAGTATCAAGATCGCACTTCATATTGAAAGATGTATGCAATAACACTCGTTAATAAACAGACAAACGAATAAATTATAACAGTTAAGGAGCTGATGTAAATAGCTTTAAACAAATGTAGCGAACAGTTTGAGTATCAATTATGACGCTTAATAAACGCAACGCAAACAGCAGTGACAAGAATTACTAAAAGAAGTAAACAAAAAGAGTAGAATAAATATGCAAAAACAAAATGAATTCATTAACTACAAAGGATACAACAACAATGATTGCAACAAATGACTCGGCAAGATTAGAATATGCTAGTGAAATTAAATTAAATTTTGTTTAATATAAAACACAATAACTTTCACTTAGCTTCAGTTATTTCACACTTAGATGCTCATAAGCACTTTTTATCACTGCTTTAACTCAGAATTAGCACAATAAGCTTAGCAAATAGAAAGCCAAAATCAGAGCACAATAAAGTACAACCTCACAGCTTGACGTTTGCAAACCGCTTATTCAAATCTATATATACACACAAATATATAAACCGAGGGTTGCCACCTCTTTATACTTCTTTTTTTATAATTTATATAATTAATACGCGAAGTAATTTTTAGTCCAGGTCATCAGATCTGCACCGTTGGTTCGATTTTCAAAAGGGAAGTGTGCAATTAAAGGGCTTGGCCTGTAGATGTGCAACAGGGTTTTATTTTTTTCGAAAATAGTTGCTACCTGTTAAAAAATTTAATTCAAATTATTTAATAATCAATGCCATTTGATGAGCACCGTTCGTTCGATTTTGAAAAGTGAGGTGTAAGATTAAAGGGCTTGGGCTGTAGATGCGCCGTGAGGTTTTAGTTTTTCGAAGTTGCTACCCTTACAGAAGTAAGAATTATTCAAATTATTTAAAAAGTTATATGAGTAATTGCAATATGGGTATCAACGAAAATGGTTTGGAAAATGCTTTATTTCTTATTTACATGTAGGAGGGTTGCCACCTGTTTAAAAAAATATTTGAAATATTTTGTTAGGTTTTTCAATAGGGTTTGGCGTTTAAGCGCCATACGGGTTCAATAGTTTAATAATACTTGTTAGG